TTGCATCGAAAGTATTGGCCAAGGCAAGATTTTAGCCCTTTTGCACCCATCCACGAATACCATCACACTGACTCTGATCCCGATCTTTTTTGTCTTCAACTTTTCCATTTTCACCCCTATCATCGTGTCCACCACAATCTGTAATGGGATCCCATCTCTCTTCTTCAGGTCTGATTTCAATAAATTCAATTTGTCCCTGTCTAATAATTGGTAGTTTAAGAAAATGGTGTTTGGTGAAATTTTTGAAAGAACCAGATGATATGGTTACTTGGTTAGATGACACTATAATGGGCATGGGATTGTAGCAAAATATCACCTTTGTGTTGGGGCTTTTGGCGGAAAGAGTAAGGTTTAGTTGAGTTGTTATGTGGGTTGTGCCGTAGGAGATCGTGGTGGTGAGGTTGAACTAGGAGATTTTTAGCCGGAGAATGCAGGGCGGTGGGTTAGGGAAGGGTACGAAGAAGACCAATTTTATTTTTCCTTTTTCTAATTTTAATTTTAATTTTAATTTAAAGTCACCATTTTGTCCCTTAAAAATTGTTAAAATGTGGTCAAAATCATTTTTCTGATCAATTGACAGAATTTTAGATGAAAAACATCCAAAAGGACTTCAAATGCAACGTCTTTGAAGATTAGAAGTGACGACTACAACAAATGAAATATTTGAAAAAAGTCTATCAATATTTTAAAGATTCGAAACTTCTGCTACAATTATCCTTGAAAATATTGCCAATTTTCTCGTTAGGAGTAGGGGTCAAAACATCACAAGGCTAGCCGACTAGCTATATCAGAAACTGCCCACGTATCTTTATTTGTTACTTATGTTACCTCCAAGATTCATTCCTTTAAGAAAGCATAGCTAATGATTCGGAGAGATACACAATGAAGTTCTACTTTAGAACACATTCTCCACATGCTGGACTATTACAACTAGAAGTCTACAACGCAGTTCTTTTCCGTATTAGAGCAAGAAATCACGATCTGAGAGAAATTCCGCGGGATTCAGCTTCAAGATACTTGCAGATCCTCTCCATAACTTCTCTACCCTTAGCACTATTCTGTTGGAACCTGTCCACACATCTCTGCTCTATCTTCTCTGCCATTGATGCCAGAGTTGACAAGGGCTTTATCCGTATGCTCGTTTCCTGCTTGCAAATGGTCCAGTCAATTGGGTTCGCGGGATGGGGTTCATATCTGATCTTCTCTTCCACTTCAATGAACTTCTGGAGGCTGATATTACGGGTTGCAAGTTGCATTGACCGAGATTGTGCATTGACGACTGTTGATTCAACACAGTGGCAGATATCCTGACCAATGATCTTGCGAACAAACCATGGTCCTGGAGCATGAATAGTGATGGCTCGAGTTGTGTACAGCTTCCCGGAACTGGGGTCCAGCCTGTGGTTCAAAGTGTCAACCTCAAGGATGTGTGATAGAGTGCGTTTGTTTTCAGGGTCAGCAAACTTGCGCCATGATGCTGCCGTGACTCGTTCCCATGGGTGCTTGTAAGTGTGTTCTTGGGAATATGCTCTAACCATCCCTTTATGTTCTGCACCAAGATAAAGAAATGTAGCAAGTAAAAAACGCGAGTGAAAAACATTGAAGTTTGGTTTTCCATCGAGCTCTTTTGTGCACACCAGAAACGGGAGATTCTAAGAGTGGGCATAATGTCCATTTAAAACAACAGATAATCCCAGGCATCACACAAAAATAACTGGATATTACCATTCACCAGATGGACATGTAAATTTAAAAAGCATAACTTCCACTTAAAAGTAAGAAAAAATTGAGTTATCCAAAAATGTTTGGAGATAAAATGTAGCTAGATAACTTTAATTATTTTAAAATTTCACCAAAAATAATTAGAACTGAGCGACAAACTCTCCTAGCTTAGAGTTTCAGACAAGGTACTTGGTTTTACACAATATAGTAAAATGTATACAAGCACAAATAGAAACTTGCAACAACGGAAAGTTAATGTCTCTTCCCCTAATTCCCATGAGTTCAGGAACACTTGGGAAAAGTTCTAAAGAAATGTTTTAAACATGCCAAAGGATTAGAATCAATCCCATTCATATAGAGAAACAACTACCCACGCAAAACCACCACGCTAATGCTAAGAATATTCTTAAATCATGTCACAATTTTTTGCATTATCCCTATTTATTGTATTATTCCTAATACCCATACTTCACCAAGAACATGGACATAAAATTTCACAATCACTAATTCCCTATTACATGGCTACTTAAAACCTAAAACATCACATTGAAGTTGTCAAACCATATTACCAGCAAAAGCTAGATCAAGGGTACAATTGCAAAGAAAAGATGTTTCAAACAAGACAAGATAAACACGAATTTGTGGTAATTATATCACAATTTGTTGTATTAGCCTAATACCTGATATTTCACCAAGAAGATGGACATAAAGTTTCAAAATCACCAATTCTCCATTTCATGGCTACTTAAAACCTAAAACTTTATATTCATGTTGCCAAAACCATATTACCAGCAAAAGCTTGATCAAGGGTACAATTGCAATGAAACACTTTTCAAACACAACGAGATAAACACTAAGTTGTGGTAATTATATCACAATTCGTTGTATTACCCTAATACCTGATATTTCACCAAGAAGATGGACATAAAGTTTCACAATCACCGATTCTCCATTACATGGCTACTTAAAACCTAAAACTTTGAATTCAAATTGCCAAAACCATATCACCAGCAAAAGCTTGATCAAGGGTACAATTGCAAAGGACCATTTTTCAAACACAAGAAGAAAAACTCTAATTTGTGGTATCCTATTCATTAAATGAAAACAAGGTTGACGCAATCCCAGGTACCGATTTTATCTCATCTCATCAACAAGCAAAGAATTACGTTCAAATTTCAATTCTTCCTATGAATGAGATATTCAAACTAAATGTTTTACTTTTGAGATGAATTTGAAAAGGGTATTTTACTCAGCGATAGAACCTCACCGAAATCTTGTAAAACTGGAATGTTAAAGCTTCATATGGCTGTAGCAATTATGTAGAAAATCCTTTCCTTGAATATTGAAACCCAAAATTCTAAAACCCAATAAATTAATACAAAAGAAAATTCAAATTAATATACTTACCTCTCCAAAAATCTGCAATTGAAATCAATTCCTAATCCATCGTTTATTTACCAAGAGATCCAAAAATATGAACAGAATCACATCCAAAATTCTGAATCACTTGCACAATCAAACAATGCATAGATAAATATATAGAGAAAAAAGTAAACAAGTCAACCATTTAAACATCAAATCAAAGAGAACATAAAATTAATGAACACGAGTAAGATCAAGATTAACACACCTTTTCTCCAGCAATGGGTTCAAAGCTGACTGCCCACAGAAATATTGAGAGAGTATTCAGAGTCCAAAAAATGATCGTGCCCTATCACTGTGCACAAAGCTGATTACGTGGTTGAGTTTTTCAATTTCTAATCTTCATCCGAATAGTGCAGGAGATACGTGGGCCTGTTACCGCGGTGTAGCCAGCCCTAATGCTGAGGCGGCTAATGCTTGCCACGTAGGTTTTCTTGTTTCCAAGCCCATGTTTGACCCCATTAATTTTTATCCCATTTTATTTCTTTTTTTTTCTCCCCTATTTTCAATCACACAATCTTTCATAAATAATATTACATATAAATCGAAAATTTTCTTTATTTTTCAAAAAAAAATACTATTTCACTCATGTTTAATATTACACATTTCTTAATAGAATAATATTGCACACAAATTTAAAATTTTTTTTTAATCACACATTTTTCATCATTACATTCTTATAAAAATAATGTGGCTCAAACAATGACTTATAATTAAAAGAAATAAGAGATGTATAAGTAAATAATATTTATGATTATTATGTGATTGAACTAGGGTTGACAACGGTTCGGTTCAGGGTTGGTTCAGCCAAAATCATCATCGAACTATAAATTTTTTGGCCACACCATAACGGCATCATATCCACGTAAGTTGGTTTGGTTTGATTCATATCTCAATTTGAGTCATTCATAACTACGAAAATAAATTATTTTTTTATAGATCCAACCGTCAAATTAAAAAAAAATTATGCAAAAAAAGTCAATGAAAACAAAAATATAATACTAAGTCAATGTAGTGAACAACATCCCAAATGAAAATGCAAACAATCAATATCCACATAAAAATATGTACCCTCATTTCAATATCACAATCAAAAAAACGAAGACTGGTCTTGAAGTACATTGAACTGAGAAAGAATTTTGGCAGCCAAAGATCTTACATTACTTGTTCCTCTTTGAGTGAAATCCACTAATGACATTTGAGTTGAATTCCCATATTTTTGTTTAAATTCAACAATTCTAAAAATTATTTGTAAAGCCTCCAAAGATTTTTCCTGCAATCTGGTGTAGAGTAAATTCAACAGCTTAATAACTTGCTCGTATTCTTGTATTTTCATTGATTATTCTTGTATTCAAAGTGCATATCATTGAGTTCCTCCAGCAATAAAACTTAATATATTTCGGCAGACTAAATTCATTAAATTCATCTTTTATGTGGAAAAAAAATCACATTTCATCAAATACTCTCGACAAAAACAAAAATAGATACAGATTACAGCAATTAGCAAATGGGAAGAGGAAGAAAAACACCCTCTTATTTGGGGATGGCGATGGCGAGCAAGAAAGAATACGATGTGGAGAATTAAAAAATTTGGGGACACACTACAGAGACTCGATTGAAGACGGCTGTCGGCTAATATTTTGTTGAATTTGATTTCAATTTTCTTTGTGGTAGGGTTAGTATTTAGTGGGTAAGTGATAACTGGGTTAGGTTACTTAATGGGTTAGTAATGGGCCATAAATTTTGAGCTAAACAAATTATAATAAAAAGAATGATGAAAAGCCCAATTGCCCAATATATTTTTATAATGGGTAATCGGTTCGGGGGTGGGGGACGGAGCAAATATCATACCCGCCCCGCTTCGAACCGGGTCACTAAAATCAAATACCATGTCCGCCATATTGTACTATCGGTTCTTTTTTTTCACCCCATTCGATTCGATTTATCGTGATTTTCGATTTTGACACTTCAAATTGCTATTCCTGAATTGAAAATGAAATTAGATCGTTTATAAATAATTTTTAAATTTTGGATACTTTTGAATCATCGAAGTTTTATTATTAATTAAAAAATTAACAGAAAATGAAAAAGAAAACTACAATTTACTTATTTGGTTGCCATTGTTTACCAAAAAGAATATTTTGAATATAGAATTTTTAAAGGATGTGAGACTAAAATGTAGGAAAATAAAATTTGAATTTACACATAAAATATTTTATTGTGTGAATGTGTAACTGAAAATGAGTACATTGAAAACAAAAATTAATTCAAAGACTATTAAAGAGGGGCTTAATTCTTTGTCTAATACAATATCATAATTTATAATAAATTCGTTTAAAAAGGAAATATAAGATTGTGATCTAGACTCTAGAGCATTTGAAACCTTGTCTACCTGATATATTTTTAAATATAAATAAAAAATGGGACCCCATTGACCGTTGTCTCCACCCTGACCATAGTTTATGAAAAACATCGTCGAATAAAAAGTTATTCAATTTGAATTTCATTTTACTGTTTTGCACTCTTTTGCTCTAGCCTCGGGTTTCAACATTTAATGCAATGTTTCGACAAATAAAATTTGCTCGATCCTATGGACATTGTCCTTGTTGTATCTCAAAATTGAAACTTGGAGATCAAAATTTTCCCACTTTGATCTTCTATGTTAATTCACATAGAAGGAGGAATGAAGAGGCAGGACGTCTCCTTTACTTCCTTGTATACTATGAAGCATGATTGGGACTTTTTATGGGCACCGGTGTACAGACAACTCTTGTTTCTTAACCTGTTCGGGTACATTTTTCGATTAACCTTTTTCATGATGTTCTAGGGACGGGGCAATGAGGAATCCTTAAGGTTGGGGTTCAACATTTTTTTAAACATATACTTGTTTGAAATAGCATAAAAGAAATAAGATGGTGAAAAAGGAGAACAAAAATAACCATTCAGGGACTTAAACTCAATGAGTAATTTGCGACCCCAATATAGGTGGCATTAGATGATAGGTTAAATAAAATGTGAAATTAAATGGATTATTTAATTCTATCTATCAATTAATGTCGTATTAGCGCCACCTAAACTGTGGTTGCAACCTTAGTAAAGTTAAATAGCACTACTCAAACCCAATATTAACACCTTTCATGTATATCTAAACCAAAGAAATTCATAGGCACATTTGTGCATTGCTTAACCATGGAATTGTTTTGCGCGGGTAATCGCTAACAATTAAAAAGGGATCAGACGATTGTGTAAGGAACAAACCTCTTGAGACAAAGTCCCAAAAAAGAGTGTTTTATTGACGATTGATTTACAATTGGAACTAAACAAAATGCCTCTAAGGGACGCAAGCACACGAGTACTGAAAGAAATGTTTAAGTCTAAATTAAGAAATTGAAATTACATATTCTCTGTTTGAGAGTGTTTGATTCGGAGTCTTTTTCTCTATGTCTTCTCTTCCTTTTATATTCTTTTGATAATTTCTTCGTGACAAACTGCTTGACTACCTTATAACTACCAACTTTCTTTATGGTGGCTAACTTGTCGTAGAACTGCCGTCTCTAACTGCTGCTGCCACTCCTCTTTGTCGTTCAACCGCCTTCAATTGGGCTCCTTGAATCGTGGAATGTGATAATGTTATTCAATAACTGCTTCGATAACTACATTTTTGGATAACCATAACATTTTATGTTTGCTAAAAATCTTGGGCAATTCGAAGGTATGGGCGAGAATGGGGTCATCGCTCTGGGCGACTGTAAGACATTCCATTCACTTAGACCTTGGGCTTCTTGCAAACTTGGGTGATGATTTTTTCTGTGTTGGTGGGCTTCCACTGCATTCATTAATAACCCTGTCTGGGCCTTTATCCTGAATTGCCCAATTGAGCTTCATTCTTTGGGCTATTTGATTTGGGAATTTCTCAATTGAACTTCATTTCTTGGGCTATTCGATTTGGGTTGCACTTTTAGTGTGTCAACAGAAATCAACAACAAAAATGTATGATTCAACATATGCATATCAAACCCAGATTAAAGAAGGAACCAAAATTGTAAATCGAAGTTTCTCCTCAATGAATTAGAAGAAGAAAAGAATACCAAGTGACCTACTGAAATTTCGGTCTGAACAGATAATAGCAAGTTTATGGATGTGGTTGACGGCAATGGAGCCGTGACAAAAGTGGTGGTGGCTGGTTGGACTTGTGCTGTCAATTGAGATGGATTGGGGGATTTGTGTTGGAGGATGGTCATTTTTTAGGTTTTTTTTTTTTTTTTGGCATAATTTATTGTTTTTGCCTTTTCAGAAATAGAAAATTGTACAACTTTTCAACAGTTGCCCAATTTAGTATTGAATTTTTTATTTCTCACGAAACATTATTAATCTCGTAGTCCACTGTTTCTTTTTCTTGTGGGGGTTTTAAGAGATGGAGGTGGTATTTGAGTATGTTTTATTCCGTATCGGTACACAGTAGTCAAAGACTATAAATTGAAGAAGAAGAATTATTTTTCGACAACAAATTGAAGAAAAAGAGTTATTTTTCGACAACGGGTTTCGAACATGGCGGCAACCAGATTTTTGGTCTGTTTAGAAGCTTTGATGTTTAGGGTTACATTGTGATTTTATTTTGATAGGCGATTATCCTTTTTCCGCTGATCGAAGTTTTGATTGGGATTGGTTTATTGAATGGGTTAGGTAAGCGCTTGTTTGATAGGGATTTTGATAATTGATTTTTTGATCGTTGGGGGGTAAGGTGGATCCTACATGTGAGATAAGAATTCAAAAGAGACGACTGTAATAGTGAAATAACGGTCAGAAAATTGATTCTAATTGACTTTTTAACTATACCAAACGAGCTATACATATAGCTTTTGATTGGGTTTTTTAATTGGGCTGAATAAATTTGGATAACGTAAACATCAATAGTAAAGTCATCGGGTCAAGTTGGGTTGGCTTGGGTTAATTGGATAACCAATCCAACAAGACTTGACCCAAAATAATTATTTAGAATTTTCATTTATTTATTTTATCATTTCAAGTTTTAAACTTTAATTTTATCTTAAAGAACTTGAAAAATCGAAATTAAAGTCTCTACTCTCCACCTCTTTTCTGAAGGAAAATGAAAAGAAAGACGCAGTATACAGGCAGCTCTTGTTTCCTGACCTGTTGGGGGCACATTCCGCAATTTACCTCCTTCACAAAACTCTAAGGGCGGGAAGGTGGGGGCCCTCAAGGTTGTGGTTCAACCTTTTTTTTTGTGTGGAAAATGAAGAGAATCCTAGCCTTCACATTAAAATCACCTCTCATCTCTTGCCATCATCTTCGTCACGTCTCTAGCCATTATTGTCATCACTCCATTTGTTTCTCGAGTCTTTCACATC